ACTCATTTACCCCCCTTGGCTGTTGCGGAAAGGTTTTCAGAGGCCGTGACTGCACCTGCATCTCACGGGCATGTCGGTCCCGCCGCCAGGGCGTGGGATTTAGAAGAAGACCATTCACTTATTCACTTACTCGTGGATGCATTTAACTGGTGTTCCTGCGCCCTCACTGTTTCGGACTCCGTGCTGGGCACAGGTGGCGCATTGTGAGCTGACTCGGGCACATCCCACTCCTAACAGACACACAGTCCGGGGTGGGGGGATTAAACAAATCATCACAGTGATTACTGCACATTTTCAAACGGAGGTGTTAAAAACAACAAAGGAGCTGGACTTGGAATGTAAGATGCTCTAAGGAAACCCTAGTTATCCGTGAGCAGAAGGCTGAGCGGGCACAGCGTGTGTGAGGAGTGGACAGCATGGCGGGGAGAGCCCTGCGCCGGAGGAGGCGTGGGTGCCCCCGGAGAGGAGAGGTCCTCAGGCCAGAACCTGCGGGGTTAGAGGTCCCGCTGAGAACTTTGGTCTTTGTGGGGAAGGCCAGGGGGAAGTTAGCTGATGGATTTTCAGGTAGAGGGAGCTGATGAGGATTGCACTGTGTAAAGACAGCTCTGGCTTTGGGAGGGAAAGGGGCTAGAGAGAGGACAGAGGGGCAGTAGTAACATTTCAGTTTGGAGCCTTGAAGCTGGTTGGTTATGGATCCAACATTCACCGTTACCTCCCTCCTGCACACTGTTGGTGTGCATGTCTGTGTCCTCTGGACCCTCCGCTCTTTGAGTTTGGGAGTGCCCCTCTACCTGCCTCGGGGCCTCGGTAGCGTCTGACACTGGGATTTGCATATTTGCATATTTTCAACAGCTGCCGTATTTAAACTGTGGCTCTTCTCCATCTCACATGACATGTCTGTAGGCTTAAAAGATCACAGCCCTTCTGTATTCTGGTGCCAGCATTATCTAGTGATCTAATTTATTCCTGAAGATGGAAGAAGTGTATAAAACTACACTTTGCTCTTCTTTCGCTAAGTCATCTATGCCTTACTTTTTATTTCCATACATTGATAGCTTCTAGAAAGTGACCTTGACAGTCCCGTCTTTGTGTCAATCTAAAGCATTTCGATTGTCATTATTATTACTATCTCCTTACAAATGTAACAGATGTATTGGGGGAGACTTGTTCCTGAGATTTCCCACAGAGCTGAAGAAGCAGGACCACACTGACAATGTCCTGATTCTGAAACCACAAATAAATAAAGCAGCGATAGGGAGTGGTGCGGCTTGTGGCAGAACTGAAAGAACATGCTCTACCCCAAAGCATTCAAATTCAAACACAAGATATATAGTGACAGCCAAACAAAACACTGGGGTGCCACATTGGGCTAAGTAGCTGTGAGTTTGCTATTTCTTCTTTAAATGATTAAAGTTTTTTTTTTTTTAATCCAGAGGAGTAATAGAACATTTCAGCGTGCTCATCTACTCTTTATGGGTTGTGGGTCAAGCCCTTTTAAGTGTCCGAAGCTTCAGTGTTGTGTTGGGGTAAGGCAGCAGGACCGGAGTGCCTGCGACAGTGCATTCTCAAATAACTTTGGGAGGTGGGCCTCTGACATCCCCCTGGCTTCTTGGTCTCTGTTTTCTTTCGTAAAGGACCACTGTAGTTTCCTCTGTGTCTCAGTCCCATTAACACAGCCACTAAGGGGGGTGACTTGGACAGAAAAGATTATTATGACTTTTGAAATCAGAAGCAAAGAAAACGTCTCTTCTCACATACCTCCTGGGTGAGTCCCTGGGGTTCTGTTAGAGACGTTCCCTCAAAGTGAAAAACGAGAGGCCTATAAATAGCACTGACCTTGTTCCCACCTGATCCTTAGATTAAGATTAGCTTCATCTCAGGCTGAGCGGTCACACACGGCATGGTTTCTGCGGTTAGCAGTCACTCAAAGCACAGACCCAGGAATCTCAAGAAAGAATATTTAGATAATATATTTTTAGAAGAAAGGTAATTCCAACTTTTATGTTTTTTTTTTAACCAGAGGTGAGCAATCCTAGTGATTTTGTAAATGGGAGGATCTTTTCCACTGAAGAAATTGGGCCAGTTGGATGTGAAGTGGGAGGAAAGGGGTCAGCGTGCAACCATTGAATGAATGACACAGCAATGAGGACAGGACACACTGGTTAGAACCAAGATGGCGAAAGATTCGACTCCCAGTAGACCTTGAGCCTCATGGCACACCCTCAGGTGCCATGACAGTGCCTAGGCTGACCATAAAAGGTCCAAAAGTAGGTGGTGAGGGGTGTTCCCTGGAAATCCT